GTGAAAAGTAAACACTGCAACTCGCGCTATATAGTGCGAAGTGCTTTCTATTCTTTGCGTCTTTATGATAGTGCAGCCTATTATATTGAACTATGATCGTGCGGCAATTTTGTTTTCACATTTATGTTACAATTTCTAATGAATGTGATTGTTTAAATAGTGTCAATTTATATTATCTTGCACGTACGGTTATTTCATCATTTGGCGCAGAATTTGTGGAATTTACCGAAGAATTAATTTGTTGCGAAAGGGTATTGGGTTCTAAAAAATTTAGTTAAATACTTACAATTAAAATCTTGTATCAGATTAGGCCTAAATTCTTTGAACTCAAGACATTCATTAACGATATTATTTTATATATTCAATATATAAAAGTCCACTTTTATTGCGGCAATCAATTGCATTAAAGGAATGTTGCACGGCAATTGAATTTTAATCATAAGTAAAAGATAATGAAGTCGTGAAAAAGCAGGCCTACATTCTACAATGTTTTGCTATTAAAGATAACACAAGTTAGGAATTATTCAATATATATTTATTGATATAAAAACAAAAGCCCACAAACTTTGTTCCACGTACATTTTGTCCATACCCCAAGAAGTCGTAGAATGATGGGCACAGAAGTTTCAGCAGAACCGGACACAAATGATGGGAGGATCCACAAACTTAGTACATATTTGACGTTCTATGTCAAAGTCAGGGGTCTTAACCCAAGGTATATGCATTAAATGCTTTGCCCATATTTTCGTAAAGGGTAGGTCCTGGGTTTGGGAACAGTTTATTTTGCATGTTGAACAGGTTCCTGGGGGGGGGGGGGCATAAAAAGTCAATAATTGTTGCAGATCTGAGCCACAACGTTTGACACTGGTTGAGCATTATGATTACAGCAATGATAACTGAATTGAGACCACATATTATCTATGTGACAGGGGGCGCAAAATCTCTATACCATAAAGCAAAGCGTATCATAGCACTAAATCAAACTCATCTGAGATCTTTGGGATATACATATACATATTTAACTTTCATCGAAATCGGACAAAGAAATTGAGACTGTAGGGTGTCCGCAATCACAAGTGGAAAAAAATTGTGAGACAAGATTAGATACCAAACCCAATTATTATGAATGCAGTTTCTCCATTTGCAAAACAGATATAATTTTTCGAAGTACAGATTTTTCATCACGAGGTACGTCTATGTCTGTACGCAAGTTAAAATAGGCCCTGGACCACATACAACTATCACACATGTTTTGGTTAGAAATATCTTTATGGAATTTACAGGCTTGATACAAGGAGCATTGTGTGTCAGTGAGTAAGATGTTGGCTCGCTTAAAATTCCATGTTCGATCCCTGTGTTGTCCAAGATAAGTTTATTCGGAGACGAACAGTAGGCTTTAAACCACATTTTATTTCAACAATAGAAGTCTTCATTAGCAGTGGGAGGAAATCCCAGATATGGTTCAAAATCAACTAATAATGGTTCATTTTCAACAATATATCATAATTCAAGTTGTAACTTAAAGATACATTATAGGAGATTTAGATAAAGAGTTGGAAGTTCTTGCTATAAAGAGGATATGCCGACAATTACAGTCAAATTACTTCACTCGGCGCCCAAAAAATCTCATTTTTAAAAACACTATAAACTTGATTGTCATTGTTACCGCTGTAACGATAATAAAGAAAGTCTTGATTATCCACTTTTGCAGTTAATCATCATTAATAGTTTATGTAACATTTCTGGCCTAAAGAAAGTCTAGCTCGAACAAAATGTATGTTTAACAAACGTGTAATAACAATAAACTTTTAGTTGCACATATGTGTAATAACAACAGACTTTTGGTTACACATAGTATGTAATAACAATAAAGTTTTAGTTACACATACGTGTAATAACAAAAGACTTTTAGTTACACATAATAACAATATACTTTTAGTTACACATACGTGTAATAACAACAGACTTTTAATTACACATAGTATGTAATAACAATAAATTTTTACCATAACTTACACATGCATGTAATAACAACAGACTTTTAATTACACATAGTATGTAATAACAAACAAACTTTTAGTTACACGTATCTGTTATAACAACATGTCGAATGCAGGTTTCATATTCTTTACTCTGCGTCAGTCGTTGAATTTCTTCTCTGAAGACAGGGAATAAGTCCATGGTCAGTACATGTATATCCAAAACCTTTCAGTGACTCGGAGCAATTTTCATTAAAGTTCGCAAACTCTTATAGAGACTTTGCATCGTTAGGTTTTATCTTCTCCCAAGATTCCAATTTCTTGATGTAGGTTTCACAAATTGCGTTGGGATTACCGTAGAAAGGATATAACGGTTGCTTTATATTAGCCTGTAGGCATCACCAAACGTGTGTAATCGGCTAGATAACTTAGAAGTTCTTCCAGGTCATTGGTCCTTTTTTCGAAACAAATCTTGAAACTGCTTCGCCATTTTTGGAATTGTAGGCGGTCACCTTTAAACAGAATAGGCTTGAGGGGTGGAAGAGTCGTTCTAGCCATTAATTGACCAAGTTTTTCTACATCAATCGATGATGAAACTTCTTCCTTTAAAAAGGGGATGTGTGCTCTTGACCGCATTTAGTTACCGTTATCGGAGTCAGTATCACTGATTCTCTAGTAGGTTCTTCAAGATCTACAATTGATGCTGGGTGTCGGGATTTTAAAGTATCAATTAAACGTTCTGGTCGATCTTCAAATTCATTTAATTTGCCATCATCGACGTATTCCAGCTTTGCCTTTAAATTTGACTGCAAATATTCTACTTTCAATTCCAGATTCTTAACATGTTGTGTTCCAACACCATTTGTCGGTGAATTTCATCTTGTTTAAAGTTACAATTTCATATTTTCTAAGAAAGTCAAAACATAACTATTTCTATGTCTTTTGCTCAATACGTTGTCAACTCATTATTATACGATCATAGGTTATCTTTCTCACACTTAAAAATCTTCACACCGGAAATAATAACACAATTACCTCCCTTGTTTTCCTATTCCCCACCATAGACTAGCTATCTTCAAACGTTTGAATTTGAAGTTGAAAATGATATTTTTGCCAATTTCTCAACTGGCAATAATGAATTATAGGATTATTCTTTAAGAGTGTATCCGCGAGAAGACCATGCAAAAATCGCAAAAAGTGCTAAGATAGGGGGTCGGAAGTTTTTGATCAAACTTGTGGTATGACACCCCCTAGGGGCAAGAGGTAACATGCTGAAGTGGTTACAAGCTGATGTCGCTCTAAAGAACTGTACAGGAATTATTCATTTTATGTGTAAAATTGCGGTTTTCACATGTGTATTTATCACCTTTTTTAAGCACAGACTGCATTCTATGGTGGAATAACAACCTTCTAAATTTGACCCTGTCTGATAAAGCGGGTGGTCAACTTCTACCCCAGCACTAATTTGAAAAAAAAAATCAGTACATACTAATTTTGTGTGGACTTGTTTTAGGGTACCATATTCACATTGTCCCTATAGTACAGAATAAGATACACTGTAACTTTTTCTTTCATGGTCGCAAGTAGAATTTCTTTGGATGGTTTTGAAGTGCTAAGCACATAGTATCCATAGGTGTAAAGAAAATGACCAGAATGCAACATACTTAAAATATACAGCTTATTGAAAAGTGCTAAAAATAAGCTTTTGTGATACATTTTTTTGCAAATTTAATTAGAGAAATAAATTTTTTGACTTTTATACGTTTTCATCATATCCATAGCCATTATTTGTACCATGTTGTACTCTATACAAGTGTGTATTGTATTTATTGTATATTTGGTATTGTCGTATTGTCCCTTTAACATATTTGTTGTATTGTCTCTTTAAGATTTCATTTTCAAACAAGTTACCGAAAATGGCTACAAAATGTTTAATTTCAGAGCATGTTTCCACTATTCATTTTGGGACACATCCACTGATTTCTACAATACAGAAATGTGGAAGCTTAAATATTAATGGCAACGAAGTCTAATTGCGTCGAAGTGGGTGACATTGAACAGTGTAGTATGGTAGCTACAGATCTCGGGCACCGTCAGCTGCACCTTCAGGACCGGATTTAGAATAAGAGAGGCCCTAGGCAAACACCCTGAACAGGGCCCACGACATGGACCTTGGGGTCCTGGGACAAGCAACTCGGTGAGAGGGTGGGTCGGGGGAAGTCATGGGGTGGGTGGTTCGAATCTCACTTTTAGGTGAATTTTTCATTTTCGTTGGATTATTTTATTTAAAATAATGTCTATTTGAGAGTAATGGATATGTTTGTTAAGATTGAGCACGTCAAAACTCCAATGGAAGGTCGTAGACAACTGCGGAAGTCAATTCCCGTCGACCCCAGATGAGCCATGAACGATTACAGGCCTTTGAAAGTATTTTTTTACCAAGATATTTTTATAAAACAGATACTAATGTATTTTAGGGCTGGTAGTAAACACCATATGAATGAAAAGGAAAATAAATTGTTAGGTTTTTTTTATCTACTACGGTTAATTATCCCCAAAATAGGGAAATTACAGATTAATTTCGTGGGTTATTGTTTCCTTTACCTAGTTTTTGTCAAGTCGATTCCGGTCATTTTTATTTTTTGTATCAAATGTTGGGAGTTTGCTTTTTCACGTGAGCATAATTTTTTTAAAACCACCCCATGAAAGAAGTAGCTATAGGGTGTCAAACTTTGGGTGAAGAAAAATGGGGAATTTAGACAGGCTTTGATATCCAGTCCGTATACAGATCTTGTTCGCCAGAATCGTCTGAAGTTAATATTGTGGTAACAGCACTGAGTCATCAATAAACTGTGTGAGTTTGGTCTTTCTGCTACGTATAGTAAAGGTGTAAGGACTTGCCAAAGTTGGTATTTGAGAAAAGACAGATTTGGGCAATTTCACCATATGAAAAATGTTTTTTCAATTTTCTCATACAGGAATTGAAAGATTTATCTAATATTGCACATTTATGTGTTTTAGGACTATCCCAACTTATAAACCAAATTTGGTCAAAATCTGTGATTGAAGCCTTAGCACCTTCTGCATGGTTTTCTCGTGGACACGCTCTTAACAAGGTAGGACTGTTTATAGATACCATCTATTTTAGGGCTTTATTTTAATACATTTTAAAAATATAACTTAAAAATATGAAATTGTAACTTTAAGCTTGATCATCTCTGCTTCTTGTTTCTCCTTTTCAGTCTGAATCTTTATTTCGGCTATCGAGGTTTCTAGAATAGCCGAACGTCGTCTGTCATATTTCCGAGAGTGTGTCGCACTCCTACCACTTCTGGAACTGCAAGTCCTTTTGGCTCCAGTCTCGACATCCAAATTTCTGTCTGCTAAAATATCTCTTTTACATTAAGCTGTCTTTGGAACTCCAGTATTCTTTCTGCAGTAATATCATACAGCGTAGTGTCTTCTTTAAGAACGGTCTCATCTTGCAGGGTTAGATATTCAATTTTACTAAAACTTTCAGTAAATTCAAGTTCTATCAAGATTTTATTAATATCAGGACTCTTTTTTTATCCAAACGAGTTTCTATCTCTGTGAGAAATTTGTCAATGTTCTGTACAGTAGATGAGAAGGCCACCCTAGCCTTGCCATTTTGTGAAAGTCTACCTCTCTCTGACATTTGAGATGGAGAGAGTTTTCCTGGTGGTGTGTGGTGCTGTGAGTCTGTTGGTTCTTCCATTTTAAATTTGTTGTGTCACCACCGGGCCGTAGAATACAGCTGACTGGATGATTTGGTTGTCGAATCAATTCGAGAAATGTTTAAAACTGTAGCTACGCACTCAATCTTTTTTTCTCAATAAAAATTATGTCTGTGTGTCGATCTTTTATTGAGGTGTCATAGACTGCCCAGTGGTTTTCTACAAAATATAAACAAAAACTTATGTGAACGATGTCTGATCTTATTCATTGGAAAGGGGGGGGGGGGTAAATATTACGAATTATGAAATAAATAAACAAATAACACATCATGACATGGTCACGAAATGAGGAAATATGATTACTTACAAACATTGCTTTCCCAAAGTCTTGGAAATAATTAAAGAGTTGTCAAAACTTATAAAATTCAAGTTTTTAATTTTTAATCTTTGGGCTGTCAGAGATCACATTGTTATCTATAGTTATTGTCTCAAATATCAGGGGCGGATCCAGGAATTTTTGCAGGAGGGGATTTGCCAGGTTCCTGAGACAATGCATCTCTCCTCCCACCTCCTGCATGGTCTCTATCGTCATTTTGGCGTATATACATACACATTGAGCTTTTTAAACAGAGAAATTCAACACCTCGTTTGATGTCATTTTTTATTATGAATTAATACAATGACATTGTGATTCAATTTCATGAATGCAAAGCATTGATTGTGATATCACATAATGTGATTAATGTCTATATCATTATCTCGTGCTTTGAGTGCCCATCCTGTCCCACATCTGACGATAAAGCATAAAGCACACAGCGGAGAAACTTTTCTCATAAAAAGTATTGATTTACAAAAAAAATTATGTAGCTGAGCAGGGGGGGGGGGGGGTCCCCTCTGGATCCGCCCCTGAATATGCTTGCGAGAAAAAATGAGTGCGCGATTATCCAAACAGGAGTAAAATTATTGATTGCGACAATTAAATAAAGGGACGCGACACCCACAATTCTTTTATTAAATAAAAGTAGAAGTTGTGTACATTTCTATATAGATTAATCTGTCAAGTTCATTTTCTTATATATAAAAAAAAAAAAAAAGTTTACTTAAAATTAAAATAGTATAGGCCTAGGCCTAATAGATAGGCCTAAAAAAGAAAAAGCTAGAGTTAACAATAGACTCGTTTAGTACCACTGCTAGGCTACACTTCATAAGATAAAGCAACCTCTCTTCATTTAAAAATAAAATTTAAGCGTAACTTCATAATCGATATTCATTGGGCCTATTCCTAATTTCCGGATTACCGCTAGGCTATTGTGTATGAGTATGACGGTACTGGTATGTGAAACCTCGGCATAATGTTTTCATTTGTATATTAATATTATATTTGTCAATAGGCCTAGATGTATAGAGTTAGCGGCAAATAATTAAAATTATAATAGTATAGGCCTAGAGATTTACATTTATAATATTACATTTGTCAATAGGCCTAGATGTATAGAGTTAGCGGCAAAAACCACCACATGAGAAAATGCAATGCAATTTGTTAGATTTATCTTTTTAAAAAACCAAGTTAACAAAATAATCTAACTAGCCTAATTATTACGATTGCTCGGTAAAATCGCACTAGGCCTAGTGGGTAGCGTAGAATGATTTGACTTTTCCTAACCTATTTAATTAAATGTTCATACTTACTTGTGAAAACTAACACACTGTGCTTTTGTCGAGGTTTTTGTGTGGAGTAAACATCCAAAAGCAAAACACTGGAGTCCACGCAGATCGTTTTTCGTGTGAGGTTTAGTGGAAGGATACGAGTGATCCGCCATATTGTTTACACTGACTACACCTTCCAAGATGGTGCCTGACAGTCGCGTCACCAGACGTCAAAAGTCACGTGATTGCTATTCTAGTCTATGGGCTAAATAATAATATAGATAAATGATGTATGGTTAAAAGATAGGTTGCCAGGCAACGAAACATATACCCACAGCAGCTATATCGTCACATATTTTTACTTTTTTCGGTAATGAAACATTTATAATACATTAAAATCTGATTAAGAGTAACAACTCATTAAGTAATTATCAGAAAACCATTAGAATTTGTTTGGTTTTTATAAAGTTCTGCCCCATGCTAACGTTTAATATACAAAACTTTTAACATCATGGATTTAGCTGTTCAAGTCATAAAGATTCTTGAAAATCAATATACTTGTTCGTCTCTAGATCTTAAACACTGTGTATAAATTTAAAGTAAATCAGATATTAACTTTAGCCTCTACAGCGTCCACAAGATTTTTCAAAGTGATCAAGGGCCATAACTCTGGCAGTAATTGTCAAAAAATTGCTGAAAATCAATAGGCTTCTTCGTCTCATGATCAAGGGCCATAACTCTGGCAAAAATTATCGGAAATCGCTGAAAATCACTAGGCTTATTCGTCTCATGGTCTTCAACGCTGTATATAAATTTAAAGTCAATCGGATATTAACTTTAGCCTCTAGAGCGTCCACAAGAATTTTCAAAGTGATCAAGGGCCATAACTCTGGCAGTAATTGTCGAAAATTGCTGAAAATCAATAGGCTTCTTTGTCTCATGACCTTAAACACTGTGTATACATTTAAAGTCAATCGGATATTAATTTTAGCCTCTAGAAGCTCCACAAGATTTTTCAAAGTGATCAAGGGCCATAACTCTGGTAGTAATTATCGTAAATCGCTGAAAATCAATAGGCTTCTTCTTCTCATGACCTTATACACTGTGTATACATTTAAATTCAATCGGATATTAACTTTGACCTCTAGAGCGTCCACAAGATTTTTTGAAGTGATCAAGGGCCATAACTCTGGCAGTAATTATCGAAAATCGTTGAAAATCAATAGGCTTCTTTGTCTCATGACCTTAAACACTGTGTATAAATTTAAAGTTAATCGAATATTAACCTTGACCTCTAGAGCGTCCACAAGATTTTTTTAAGTGATCAAGGGCCATAACTCCGACAGTAATTATCGAAAATCGCTGAAAATCAATAGGCTTCTTCATCTCATAACCCTAAACACTGTGTATAAATTTAAATTATACAATTGTGGACGCCGGACGGACGGACGGGGGCGACAACAATATACGACCACATTTCAATGTGGGCGTATAAAAAAGGGGGTGTGGAATTAATTTACAGGCATTTCATTTAAACATACAGTGTTTAATCTGTGGATCCCAAGTGATTCAGCAATATTGAGTTTGGCTCTATCCTTCGGAGGGACTTTATCCAGCACAGTGCAGACATAAGATTCATGACCAGGTGTATTAAAGTGTGGGGCTATGTGAAGTGATTTCCCAATCTTTTTCAATTTAATATTACTTCTATGACTATTAAGTCTGGTACTATTTCAATGTGGGCGTATAAAAACAATAGTATATCTACTATATCACACAAGCTACGCAGTGTGAAACCCTAATTAATCAGTGTTAAAACATTACAAATATACCATAGGCCATATTGAACTCAATATTAGTTTCTTCAATCATCAGAGCAGACACAAACCTGTTTCAAATGGACCAAAAATATAATCTTTAAGTGGCATTTAGTGATTGGGGTACACAATAACAGAACACAATTTTTATGGGAAACATCACTGGTTTTATTCTAATAGCACGATGTTTCGACAAGTATCCTCTTATCGTTATCAAGCACAATAGACCAAAAATATACCTTTCTATTATTTTTTTTTTTTAACAAATATTTAGATGGATGGACTGAAACTTTAAAGGACAAGCATTACTATTTTTCTGGATTACTTCAGAATTATATCAGCACAAACTACTGCAATTTTTTACACCTTTTCATCTGTATATAGTTCATCTCACTTGTTTTTTTAACAATGCTTCAGCTACCCAATGTCTTCATGATAAATGATAAAATAATTACCCTAACAAACGTGGCAGGAAACCAGCCCTGACGATCATCGATCACTCCAAACCACCAATCTTTATCCACTAAATCTGTAACACGAACCAAATCACCAGCACGAAAACCCATCTCATCTGTATCCATAGTAACATGATCCCATAATGCTTCAGCGTAAATCATATTTTCTTCCTTAATTAACTGAAAATGTATACAAAATTATTTTACATTTTTGTTCAATATTTTACGTACATATATTACAAAGATAGGTTGCCAGGCAACGAAACATACACCCAAAGCAGCTAAGTCGTCCGAGCAGTAAACAAGAGTTGTCGCATATTTTTTCTAATTTCCGTAATGAAACATTTATAATACACTAAAATCTGATTAAGAGTAACAACTCATTAAGTAATTATCAGAAAATCATTACAATTTGTTTGGCTTTCAGTTCTGCCCCATGCTAACGTTTAGTATACGAAACATTTAATATCATGAATTTAGCTGTTCATGTTATCAAACAAAAATTCATTGAAAATCAATATACTTGTTCGTCTCAAGACCTTAGACTCTGTTTATCAATCTAAAGTCAATCGAATGATAACTTTGGTCTCTAGAGCATCCACAAGATTTTTCAAAGTGATCAAGGGTCATAACTCTAGTAGTAATTATCGGAAATCTTTAAAAATTAGATGATAACTTTAGCCTCTAGAGCATCCACAAGATATTTTGAAGTGATCAAGGGCCATAACTCTGGTAGTAGTTATCGGATATTAATTTTCGCCTTTAGAGCATCCATAAGATATCAAGGGCCATAACTCTGATAGTAATTATCGGAAATGATTGAAAATCACTGGGCGTTTTCGTCTCACGACCTTAAACACTGTGTATAAATCTGAAGTCAATCGGATATTAACTTTAGCCTCTAGGGCGTCCACAAGATATTTCAAAGTGATCAATAGGCTTCTGCGCCTCATGACCTTAAACACTATGTATAAATTTAAAGTCAATCGGATATTAACTTAGGCCTCTAGAGCGTCCACAAGATTTTACAATGTGATCATGGGCCATAACTCTGGTAGTAATTATCGGAAATCATTGAAAATCACTGGACGTCTTCGCCTCACGACCTTTAACACTGTGGATAAATCTGAAGTCAATCGGATATCAAATTTAGCCTCTAGGGCATCCACAAGATATTTCAAAGTGATCAAGGCCATAACTCTAGCAGTATTATTGGATATCGTTAAAAATCAATAGGCTTCTGCGTCTCATGACCTTAAACACTGTTAATAAATTTAAAGTCAATCGGATATTAACTTTGGCCTCTAGAGCGTAAAAAAGATTTTTCAAAGTGATCAAGGGCCATAACTCGGATAGTATTTATTGGAAATCATTGAAAATCACTTGGCTTTTTCGTCTCACGAAATTAAACACCGTGTATAAATCTAAAGTCATTCGGATATTAAATTTAGCCTCTAGAGCGTCCACAATATTTTTCAAAGTGATCAACGGCCATAACTCTGGAAGTAATTATCGGATATCGTTGAAAATCCATAGGCTTCTTCGTCTTATGACCTTAAACACTGTGTATAAATTTAATCGGATATTAACTTTAGCCTTAAGAGCGTCCACAAAGATTTTTCAAAGAGATCAAGGGCCATAACTCTGGCAGTAATTATCGGAAATTGTTGAAAATCAACAGGCACTTCATCTCATGACCTTAAACACCGTGTATAAATTTAAAGTCAATCGGATATTAACTTTAGCCTCTAGAGCGTCCACAAGCAATTGTGGACACCGGACATGGGGGCGACGACAATACATGTATACGACCACATTTCAATGTGGGCGTATAAAAACCTACTAGTACTAATTAGTTCACATGTAAAAATATGTGTTTGAGTATTTGAAAGATCGGTTGCTGAGCAATTGAAACAAGGGACATTACTCCAGAAGCAGTCAATATGAATTGTTGAAATTGCAAAGGATTCTTCATTTCAATAATTAGAACAACACAAATTGTTTTCACGAAGATTGTCTGAAAGAGCATTTACAAGATTTTACAAGGTGTATAAGAGCTGTAACTCTTGAAGTTATTGTCAGAGATCGCTAAAATATAGGACCAAATTTCCAACATATCTGACTTTAATCAGATAGTTATCGTTTAAATTAGGGAGGGGAGTTAATTTGACCATTTATATTTTTAGGGGTTCTTCCTAAAATCGCTGACCGCTAGGGGGTACAACATCAATATTTATGAGCTGTAGATGTTTTATGATAATTGTACCTCGTCTAATGTTTGAAGTGTTAACAGTGATCCTCGTATATTGCGAGACTTCTCTTGATGGTTAAAATCCACCGATATTTCTGATTCGTCAGATGAATCATCACAGCCACCTGATTGGCTATATATACTATTTGTATCACAACCTGTAAGATAATATTTTATAATAAATACACTTAATTCTGTTTAAAGATAGATTGCCAGGCAACAAAACTAAACATATGCCCACAGCAGCTAAATCATCCGAGCGATCGACAAGGGTTGTCGCACATTTATTCTTTTGTAGGTAATTAGGGGCATTTAGGGGTTCTGAAAACTAAAAAAAGGGTCATAACACTGGAAGTAATCTAGAGAAATTGTTGAAATTCGACAGGCTTTTTCATTTTACTAATTCAAATAATGCATATAAATTTCATACAGATCGGATGATAACTTTTGTTGTTTGAACGTTCACAAGGTTCAACATAGTAAAACAAGGGCCATAACTCTAGAAGTAATTGACGGAAATTGCTGACATTCAATAGGCTTCTTCATTTCACTAATTTAAATGATGCATATGAATTTCATACAGATTGGGTGATAACTTTTGTTGTTCGAGCGGTCACAAGATTCAACAAAATGAAACAAGGGCCATAACTCTAGATGTAATTAACGGAAATTTGCTAAAACTCAATAGGCTTGTTCGTTTTACTAATTTAAACGATACATATAAATTTCATACAGATCGGATAATAACTTTTGTCGTTAGAGCCTTCACAAGGTACAACAAAGTGAAACAAGGCCATAACTCATGGCGTAATTAACGGAAATTGCTGAAATTCAATTGGCTTCTTCGTTTCACTAATTTAAATGATGCATATAAACTTTAAAAAGATCGGATGATAACTGTTGTCATTAGAGCGTTCACAAGATTCAACAAAGTGAAACAAGTATCATAACTCTAGATGTGATTTACGGAAATTGCTGAAATTCAATAGGATTCTTTGTTTTACTAATGTAAATGATGCATATAAATTTCATACAGATCGGTTGATAACTTTTGTCGTTAGAGCCTTCACAAGGTACAACAAAGTGAAACAAGGCCATAACTCATGGCGTAATTAACGGAAATTGCTGAAATTCAATTGGCTTCTTCGTTTCACTAATTTAAATGATGCATATAAACTTTAAAAAGATCGGATGATAACTGTTGTCATTAGAGCGTTCACAAGATTCAACAAAGTGAAACAAGTATCATAACTCTAGATGTGATTAACGGAAATTGCTGAAATTCAATAGGATTCTTTGTTTTACTAATGTAAATGATGCATATAAATTTCATACAGATCGGTTGATAACTTTTGTCGTTTGGGAGTTCACAAGGTGCAACAAAGTGAAACAAGGGCCATAACTCCAGAAGAAATTAACGGAAGTTATTGAAATTAAATAGGCTTCTTCATCTCACTAATGAAAACAACATATATCAATTTCAAAACAATCAGATGATAAATGTAGTCTGTAGAGTGTTCACAAGAAATTGTAAACGACGGACAGGGGCGACGGCAATATACGACCACATTTACATGTTGGTATATAAAAATTGAAACAGTGTTCTTAGTTAAAACCAAGAGAGAGAGAGAGAGAGAGAGAGATAAATTGAGTTTAATGTCCACTCGACATAAACTAGGTCATTTCGGGACTACATGTAACATATGGTTCAATTATATTTCAATAATTTGCTTGCACGTAGAGGGTTTTAGGTGTGGAAGGAAAAAATTGAGTTTAATGTCCACTCGACATAAACTAGGTCATTCGGGACTACATGTAACATATGGTTCAATTATATTTCAATAATTTGCTTGCACGTAGAGGGTTTTAGGTGTGGAAGGAAAACAGAGTACCGGAGAAAACCAATGAAGTTTGACAGGTGACCCTACTCCTTGTCAAGTATAAGCTTGGAAGCATAACCACACCACTTGACTCAATGGCAGATCTTATGATCTAAAGCACATATGCGTTAGACCATTCAGTCACCCAACCCCCGAACCAAGCATTTCACTGGTCTATCACTGCATTACACTCCTGCATAGAGAAATACTTATAATAGTCTGGTATAGTTATATTCTAGAAACATTTTGTGGACAGAAGAAATTTTGTTTGGAACCCATGTTTGTGCTGAAATACAATGGTACTACAAAACTGTATTAACTATGTGAATGCCTAAGTTGAGAAGTTGTATCAGGTGGTTCTAAAAAGAGTAAGCATGCCCTGCCTAGCACATGATACCCAGAGCAATGGTTTATATTGAGAAGCTGATGGGTAGTGGGTAGAAGATAACCATTGGGTCAGCAGCAGTGGTTTAAAAATATCAAAATGAAATGAAATGGTTTATGTCTTTACCACAGCAGCATCAAAACCAGGGCTGACATTGTACCAGTAGAGAATCATACTCAAGAAACTTATACACCATTCCATGTTTTACCTCATTAATCAACCGAAAAAAACCTTACCAATCAGACTAAGGAAGTTTTTTCGTCTATGTAATTTATCAAGACTTTCTGGCATGCTGTGAGATCGAACTAATTCATGGTTTGTATTTCCTTTAGCTTGTTTCTTATCAGTTCGTGATTTGATTGGATGTGGTGTGGACATCTGAAAGTAGACAAAACATAGTATAAAAGGGATTTAATAATAATAATATGTACATTTATACCATGCAACGTTCCATGCTAATATGCATGCTCAAGGCCCTACATAGTCTGGGTGCCATAAATAGGTCATAAATAGATGAGTTTTTAAATTAGTTTTGAATGATAGTTTAATGTTCAGGGGTAATGAATTCCACAGAACAGACACAATGTGAACAAATGATCTGTATCCAAATGATTTGAGTTTATATTTTGGGATTATAAGAAGGTGTACATCCAGGAAAATATGGTGATAAAAGATCTGCTTGATAGGAAGGTTCGTTTCCATGTAAAAATTTATATGCAAGGCACAAGAGCTTAAAATCTATTCCTAATTTAATTGGAAGCCAATGAAGTCCTTTGAGTGCTGGTGTAACATGCGAGTTCCTAGGTAAGCGACTGATGATTTGAGCTTCAGTATTTTCAACGATTTGGAGTTTTGATATCAGTTTGTGGGATATTCCAGATAACAAGCTATTGCAATAGTCTAATCTTGATAAAATGATATCCCATATTCTAAAATTGGTTTTATATTTACTTTGCATTCTACATTTTAAAAGTATTTTTTCATTTATTCTTCATCTTAAATGTCTATCAAATCATGTTACATAGGTGTCTATTTCAAGTCAGATCTGCATAGGTTTAGTTGCTTATTATTTTAAGAGTTCACCTTTTATGTAGGTATAGCATGGGTTCCACGTCAGCCGTATATGCCGGTCAAGACCTAGGGCTATGGAAAATGACCGTAACAAGATCTGACCCATCGGTCATTTTCCACGCCAGAAAAAATAGCCTTTTCTTCAAAACCCAATTTTCAAACATGGCTATGATTGACCTCCACCATGTTACTATAAAATTGTACGGCCAGTACAGAATAATGCACACGTACAGAAGCCACATAATCTCATGATTGGTGTTATAGAGTTGTATACATAGCCGTCTACAGATTATACTGAGTGTTGTGTTGATAATTAATGATGAGTGTCTGGTAGTAGAACAATAAAAGTTAATTGATATGTGGGAATCTTATCAATGGCATGAAGCTGTCCGTTGATAATCATTCACTATTTGAACACCCACCTATTGTCCGTGTCATAAGAATTTTCTAGAATAAAGCCACTTTACTGCTATTACGGTCACGCACGCTGTAAATGAGATTATGTATGATCTTCGACAAAAGGGCAATCAGATATGAAGTACTGTTCTTTGAATCCCACCAACTGTCATATTAAAGATGGGTTCCCGCATACAAACTGGGTGATTTAATGGTATATATGGACTAATAACATATTCAAACTAATTAATTTGTCATAATTTTTCTTCAAATCCTTCTCAAAAATTGTAATTCGATCAAACCAGGTCATGTGTACGTCACGTGACTTTTAAGTCTCTTGGAAGTCAGAGGAGAATTCATTGCATACATAAGACGATGTTGTCTTTAATCGCTTACTATTTATTACAAATATCAAATCCTAATTAAATTCTTTGATTATCCACTACCGGCGTCTTTTTCCATCATTTTTATCTCAGAAAAGTGTTGTACGTCTGACTCTTCATAAAGTTTATCAACTTGTACATTAAGCGCTCAATGTTCGCGTGTGACCTTTGACATCACGCGTGCAGAAATTCCTAATCGTCAGGCTGTTGATTAGGGGAGCCCCTACATTTTTGTCCTGTATAGGCTCCATGAGTGTTTTTCGGGGAATCCAGTATTTTTCTAGTAAGATTGGATATCTCTACTTTCCATATCACCATACTTTTATTGGAAATAACCACCCGATAAATACTTCCTGGGAACCCATCTTTAAATAAAAAGATAGGTTGCCTGGCAACAAAACATACTCCCACAGCAGATAAATCGTCTGGGCTGTCAACAAGAGTTGTCACATATTTTTACTTTTTTGGGTAATCTGATTAAGAGTAACAACTCATTTTAAGTAATTATCAGAAAATCATTAGAATTTGTTTGACTTTTATAAAGTTCTGCCCCATGCTAACGTTTAGTATACGAAACATTTAATATCATGGATTTAGCTGTTCAAGTAATCAAAATTCATTGAAAATCAATATACTTGTTTGTCTCAAGACCTTAAACTCCGTGTATCAATCTAAAGTCAATTGGATGATAACTTTAGCCTCTAGAGTGTCACAAGATTTTTCAAAGTGATCAAGGGCCATAACTTTGGCAGTAATTATCGGAAATCAATACACTTCTTCGTCTCATGACCTTAAACACTGTGTATTAGTTTAACTTTATATTAACTTATATTATATTTATATTATATTAACTTAAGCCTCTAGATCATCCACAAGATTTTTTGAAGTGATCAAGGCCCATAACTCTGGCAAAAATTATCGGAAATTGCTAAAAATCAATAGGATTCTTCGTCTCATGACCTTAAACACTGTGTATAAATTTAAGGCCAATCGGATATTAACTTGTGTTAATATGTGTATAACTTGTGTATAAATTTAAAGTCAAACGGATATTAACTTTAGCCTCTAGAGCGTCCACAAGATTTTTCAAAGTGATCAAGGGCCATAACTCTGGCAAAAATTATCGGAAATTGCTGAAAATCAATAGGATTCTTCGTCTCATGACCTTAAACACTGTGTATCAATTTAAAGTCAATCGGACATTAACTTTAGCCTTTAGAGTGTCCACAAGATTTTTCAAAGTGAGCAAGGGCTATAACTCTGGCAAAAATAATCAGAAATCGCTTAAAATCAATAGGATTCTTTGTCTCATGACCTTAAACACTGTGTATAAATTTAAAGTCAATCGGATATTCACTTTGACCTCTAGAGCGTCCACAAGATTTTTTGAAGTGATCAAGGGCCATAACTCAGGCAGTAATTATCGAAAAGATTGAAAATCAATAGGCTTCTTCGTCTCATGACCTTAAACACTGTGTATAAATTTAATGTCAATCTGATATTAACTTTGACCTCTAGAGCGTCCACAAGATTTTTTGAAGTGATCAAGGGCCATAACTCTGGCAGTAAATATCGAAAATCGCTGAAAATCAATAGGCTTTTTTATCTCATGACCTTAAACACTGTGTATAAATTTAAAGTCAATCAGATATTAACTTCAGCCTATGTGGACGCCGGACCGACGGACGGACAGCTCCCCAGTCATTGTTTGATAAGACTCTATGTGTTGAGGGCTTTCAGACATTTTTTCTTGAGTGTTTTGATATTGGGGATAAATGATAATTTCTTATCAAATATTAAACCCAAGAATTTCGCCTCATCTACAACTGGAAGGGGATTGCCATCCAGTGTAAGTTCTGGATCAGGATGTAAACCTCTTCTTTGACAGAAGTGCATACAAACAACAAGGGTTGTTGCATATTTATTCTTTTGTAAGTAATTGGGGACATTTACAATACAATTTCGTATAGATCAGATTATAATTTTTGTCTTTTGAGGGTTCACAAGATTCTACAAACTGAAACAGGGGCCTTACTCTCAGAAAATTTTGAAATTTGATATAAATTTCATACAGATTGGATGATAATTTTTGTCATTCGAAAGTTCACAGGGTTCACAAAGTAAAACAAGGGCCATAGCTCTAGAAATAATTGATGGAAATTCAATAGACCTCCGTTTCACAAATTTAAATGATGAATATAAATTTCATACATATCTGATGATAACTTTCATCAATCGAGCATTAACAAGGTTGAACAAAGTGAAACAAGGGCTACAACTTGAGAAGTAATTATTTTCAATTGCTGAAATTGAATAGGCTTCGTAGTTTCACTAATCTAAATGATGCATATAAATTTCATACAGATCAGCTGATAACTTTTGGTATTTGTGTTCACAAGGTTCAACAAAGTGAAACAAGGGCCATAACTATTGTTGAGATTTGACAGGCTTCTTCGTTTCACTAATTCAAATAATGCATATAAATTTCACAAAGATCGGATGATAACTTTTGGCATTAGAGCGTTCACAAGGTTCAACAAGTGAAACAAGGGCCATAACTCTAGACAGAACTAGAACTGAGATGCAGTAATGACGGGTTTCACCGATGCCCTGTTACCCTTGAACATATGTCACTTCCGGTATCAAATAAAATGTACGCAGAATCAACCAAATCCAGCAATATCAATTCATTGTATACATTCGTTACATGTATGTGATCCTGACAAAATTACATTACTTCCGGTGATAATGATAATGTTAATTTAGTTTTATGAATTCAGAAATGCCATAAGGCATCACATGGTGAAAATTTTATGTAAATCGAATAATAATTACCACTGTTATAGACCAAAAACCTTGAACAGTGACTTGTAGAAAATCGTCTATTTCTCTGCAACCGTACAAGTTTGGTATCTGTATGATTGTATGCATTCAATCTATTTGTTGATTGGAATCAAATATCATAATTTTATAAACATTTTTGGTCAAATCAGATGACTCTTGAACCCTGGGTAAAATACCACATAAAAATATTCATAAATAAAAAAGTTTTTCGTAAAAATTTTAATTTTCAAAATTTGCCACCTAATATCTCTGAAGATTCGTCAAAAATAAAAAATCTAAAGAACTGTAGCTATGTGCCTTGTCTCCGGCTATGTCAAAATGTATCAAATAATACAATCCGACAATTATTGATAGCATTATGGTAATATTTCAAAAAGCGACAACTTCGGTGATTTCGGACATTTTGCATTGTCGCAGAATGTTAGAAATAGCTTTAAAATTTAAGTCAAACCAACTTTCCCGGTAAAACCGAAGACATTGAATCGATCTGACAAGTAGTTTCTGAGATATGCTCAAATGGAATAATAATAATAATAACTAGACCTGCAAGCAGCACTGAACCGGCTTTCAGGAATCAGACAGGAAGTGTGTCATACAATAGCCCATTTATCGAGCTACCAAATGATACTTTAGATGTTTTGATCCGGTCACACCCGACGGTGAAATCTCGACTGTTGCAAGAGC